GGACTTCTTCGATTTTATTTTTTAAGAATTATTTAATTTTAATGTATTCATTCATGTATTTTAATTTGACCAGAGAGAGGGGGAAAGTGAGAAAGCGAGCCAACAGGTCTGGGACTCAAACTGTAGTCAGCCATGTAGGCGTGTCCAGCGCCTTAACCACCACACCACCTACTGGCCCCCCGATTATTTCTTTCAAGAGTTAAATGTGAATTCTATGGGCAAATACAATTTGGGAAATGTCAGAAATTAGACAAAGTTGAGTCTCTTCACGATTTCCCGATGCCTGTATTAATGCTAATAGGCTCTGTCTATACAAGAAAGATCATCTTTAGCATGTCCCAAACTTACTAGATTGTGGAATCATTTAAAAGATATTTTTATTGTGATTTTTCCGGCGGGGGGGGGGGGGGCTAATCTCATCAGACCTCTTCGCACATCCCCTCTAGATTGCATGTTCCAGCCAGGCCTCGTTCACTTTCTTGTTCACCCTGAATCCTCAGCACCTCGTGTCCCACCAGACACACAGCAGAAGGTCAGTATAGTAGTTGAACGAGTGAGTGAAAGGAAACGGAGGGTCCTCAGCTTCTAAATTCCCACAGATTAAAGACACCTAACTCATCACCTGAGAATGTTTTTAAAGCTAGTGATTACAATGGATTTTCTTTCCCGGTCACACTGGGAACCCCTAGGGAGATCTTCACCATCCAAATGGTCAACTCAGCACCCTCCCAAGCCCAGGGCGTCTTCATATTTTGCCTTGCTGGCCCTTCCCTAGAAAAGAAGACAAGTAACTCAAGAGGTTCCTGTGGGACCAGCAGGCAGTGTGATAGTTCAGGCACTGGATTCCCATTTGGCTGAGTGCAGTTTAAGTCCTGTACCTGGCAGTTGACTTTTTTCTTTTTTTCAAAAAATGTGAAACGCTTCATGAATTTGCATGTCATCCTTGCGCAGGGGCCATGCTAAATCTTCTCTGTATCATTCCAGTTTTAGCATATGTGCTGCCGAAGTGAGCACGCAACTTGTTTTTTTCACTTTCCCTCTCTCTCTGCCTCTCTCTGGTGAGCTGACGTGCCCTAAAGAAAATTTCAAAAAATAAATAAATAAAATAAATAATTCTTAAAAAAAAATTAGAGGCTCCTATGCACTAAAGAATGGTTCCAAAACATGCAAGTCTTCATGTCTCAAGAGACCTCTGTCCAAGGAGCCCTTCTGTCTCCCAGTCATCTTGTCCACCTCAGGAGAGTAAGTACAGTAAGAACTGCAGTTGTCTTATTGATGATAATGACAAATTTGAGCACTTTTCATGTAATGGGAACAAATTCTTTGTTTTAGGTTTTTGCCCAAGGGTGCAAGCACTTGCTGGAGAGAGACAAGACAGTGAGAAGGAAAGTGAGAAATCACTGTCCTAGGGGAATGGCCATGCTGCAATCTCTTCTCCATTTTCCTCTGGAGGATTTTGGGCATGCACTCACACACATCCAGTGTGATTTTCAAGTTGCCATGTGTGGGATTCAAATGGCCATCAGCCACGTAGGAGTCCAGAGCCTTAACCACCATGCCACCTGCTGGCCCCCACAATCAAATTCTTTAAATTTGTGCAGAACAGATTAGTAGACAGAGCCATGCTGTAAATGTGTGTGTGAGATAAGCATGCATTGAGTCCCTAAATTATGCTCTTTATCATCTCATTTACTCCTTGCAATTTCCGGGTAGGTATTTTCATCATCCTCATTTTATAGCGAGGCCAGTGAGGCTCAGAGAGGTTAAATTGCTTACTCCAGACCACTCAGTAAGTGAGAAAACCGAGTTTCACACACACGCATCCTACATCATCCACGTCTGAGAACACAACCTCACTTCTACCTCTGCCACCCAGACTTTCTCTGAAGAGTTGAAGTGGGGCTTGACTTCACGGGGGAGAACCTGCCAGGCAATGAGAAGATGTTCAATAGACACCTAATGTGGACTAGCAGGTGCCATGCTAGAGCCTGCCCATTTATTGTCTCACTCCTCAGGAATCCTCAAGGTAGAAACCACTATTACTCCCATTCCACAGTAAGGAATCAGAGAAGAGAAATTAAGGCATCCACAGCCAGTCTGGTTTCTTCCAGAACCACACCAGCCACTGTTTTGCTCAAAACTGCTCTCATCCCAAGACCTCTGAGGTCCCAGCCACAATCAGAGACCTGGGGGTAGGCCCCACCTGCTGGTGTCTGCTGGTTCCTGTAACCTGAAGTAAATCGCTTCCTCAGACTAGGTTTCAAGCTTCTCATCTGCAAAATGGGCAGGCACAGGTTACGGTGAAGTGGCTGGCAAGACAATGCTTTGCACACTGCTGCATCTGTACTGCTGGGAGCAGCAGTGTTGTCAAGGAGTATTAAGGACATGTGCAGGAGATCTGGAAGTCTGGGAAGAGGGGAGAATGATGTTACAGTACGCGTAGCCCCTAACACACCGAGTCTAAGTGATACTCATACTCAGAGATGGTTAGTACAGGGCTGGCTGAGAGGAGAAAGAACAACGTCCACTGATCAGATAAGTCGGATCTGGGTGCGGCTCTGTAACTTACTAGCAAGGTCTGACTATGGACAAGTGAAAATCATCAGGTCTCGAGGGTCTCATCTGTACAGTGCGGGGAAGGGATCGTGACGCCCCTCAGTGAGGACTCCGTGTGGTTCACAGGCCTATCAAAGGCCCTGACACACTGGGCACTCGAACATCTGTTGACTAATGCACACACGATAGCTGTCAGGCTTTTCTCCCCAAACTGGCCGCATGCCCCAGCTCTTCTGAGTCCTCATGGTGGAGGCGCCAACAGCTGTGAGCAGTCCTGGCTCAGGACACTAGAGGAGGAGAGGACAGAGCAAGCATTCACCCAGGTCTCTCAGCTAACCCTTCCTGACACAGGGTAGTCAGCCCATCCTCTGGTCTCCCACACTATTCTCCCAGTAGACCACCTCGTGGAGAAACTATCTGCAGCTCTGTCTCTATGACCCATAGGTGAATTCCTTCAATGGCACTGTGAGGGTACATTTGCGTGCCCTCAGGGCCAATGGATATTTAGTCAGGTGAAAGGATAAGAAATAACTGTTCTGCAAGTCAGATTCGCTCCTAAGTCAGGTAAACTAGTGTCTTGCCCACCAAGGCCAGCAGAGGCCGGACTCAACTTTCTCCTTATTAGTCTGGATAACTGGAAGAGTGTAGGCCCTAAGGGTTCCCTTTGAATAGATGAGAAAGCTGTAGCTCAGAATGGGACTAATTTGGCTAAGACACACAGTCAGTGAATGGAAGCCAGGTCTTCCTGAACTCAGCTCTCCCCAATTCCCAAGTTCCTGCTCTCACCCTTGCCCCGCTCCTCAGATCTGATGGAACAGCGACCCCAGCGTCTCCAGCATCTTGATAGGAACAAAGTAATCCTACCACGTAGAGAAAAGGCACCAACTCAGTCCTCAATCCAAATTCGACCAGGACTGAAAGGAGGGGGCACCAAAGAGGTTCCCCGATCCAACCCAGGAAAGTAAACGAAAGAGGGGGACCTGAGACCCAACCAGCGTAGCACCTGTCTGTCCACCCCATGGAGAGCCCAGGCCACTAGAGGCTGCCTGCCAAACTGGCCCAAGCAGAAGGGGCGGGCCCAGAGAGGCGCACCCACGTCCCATTGGCCGGCTCTTGCCTGCCTCCGTTAAGTCACAGGTCCTCCCAAGCCCGAGCTGCCCGGAGTGCCAGTTGCGGGTGCGCAGGGTTGGGCAAGCAGCGGGCCAAGACGGCCTGGGGCTTGGACTCCTGGTTCCCTGGCGAACTGCGGATGCGCCAGCGTCACAGTCCTAACCTACCACGGCCAACATCCCACGAAAACCTTTTTTTTCCCCATGACTCACAGGAACTTTTTTAGGGTAGGCTTTCACGTCCCTCACTTCCTTGGTGTATCACCACTCAACCCTCAATTCCTGAGACAGCAGGGTGGGTCAGATTGGCCTGGAATTGAATCCCAGCACCTCCCTCCATATCATGAGACCATGGTCAGGTCACTTCATGTCTGTTTTCCCAATCTGAAAGTGTGCACAGCAGCCACTATAACCACACATCAGAAACCATGTTGGTTAAACTTGAGATAAAGGGAGGAACTCTCCTGCCTTATCGCTGTACAGATGACCTCAGGAAACTGAGGTCCAGCAACCAGAACAATCGTTCATACTTAACGTCAGTTCATTAACCTAGTTAGTATCAGCTCCCATCCCCTGAGCAGGAACGTGTCAGCCATCACCCCACGACTCCTCCAGTGACCCCATGGCACCGATTACTTCTCCTGTCCATTTCACGTATGAGGAAACTGAGCACCAAGGTGTTAAGTCACTTGCCCAAAACCGCAAAATGAGTAAGAGGAGGATTGTTGGCCCAAGGCTCTGTTATGAATCGGGTCATGCAGGAGCCTGGAACCCTCCAGAGTAGAGTCTTACATTTTGGGCATGTAAATGTAGTGAAAGTTCTGGATCCTCTCAGTTGAGGGAGTCACACGCGAATGCAATTCTGCTCAGCTTTCCAGGAACCCAGCTATTCCCCTAGTGTCCTACAGACAGACCCAACTATGTGAGCCCCAGCCTATCCAGGGGCGAGAGGACAGAAAGGGAGACCTCTGGATTCACCTGCAATGTTTAAACCTTTTACAGTGAGCACATTTGCATGTCCCTTGAGTAATAAATAGTAACTAAGAACTGTTTACAACAAGGACAAGAGACAGAGTATAGAGACAAAGGAGAGGGACACGCACAGCACAGACAAAAAAAACACTGAGAGGCAAAAATTGAAAGAAAAAAAAAAGTTGGGAGAAAAAGAGAAAAAAAAAAAAAAGACTGAAATACAAAATAGAGGCAGACCAAAAAAGTTACGGAACAAGAAAAACAAAGAAAAAGGCGGACAAGGAGGAAGGTCCCTCCAGGACCCATCGCTGGTTCCGCCCCAGGCTGGGCCCTCAGCTGACCCCTCCCCAAACCCCAGCTGACCTGGAGGACCCGTTTGGTGAGGCCCGTCTTTTGCGCGAGCTGCTTCAAGTCCTTGGCGTCAGGGTTGTGGTTAATGGCAAAGTAAGACTTCATGGTCCGAAGCTGGTGGTGCTTGAAGGAGGTGCGCATGCGCTTCGTCTTCTGGCTGCTGGGGTAGGGCTGGTCGCGGTCCAGGTGCTCAGCGTCGTTCTCATTGCAGCTCAGCGCTGGGGAGGCGACGCAGAGGCAGCAGGTGAACTTTCTGACCACCTCCCAAACGCCAATTCCACCCTTGACCCACCTGACACAATACGGGTCTGCCCTCAGAATCACAGTGCATGCACTTTCACCACGCTGCGATGGGAGTATTTTCCTATTTTAAGAATGGAGAAACTGAGGCTTGAAGAAAGAAACCCGCTCAGAACGACTCAGCTAGGAAATGAAAGATTCAGTCTCATCTCTGAGAGAATCCCAAAACCATTCTGAATCCTTGTGTTAAGATAATAATAATAATAATAAAAACAATAGCAGCAGCAACAGCACGACTTGTTGATGGCTTAGTGGACTCCAGAGAACACACCGAAGGGCTTTACGTAAATGCAGAATTTCACTGGATCCTTAAAACAATCCTGTGAGCCAGTTATTATTTTCCTCTTTTTATAGATGTGGAAACTGAGGCTCAGAAAAGGAAGTCATCAGATTAAGGTCTCAACAGCACAAGGTCTCTGGTCCTGGCACTGCCTAAGGAGGAGTGCTATCTCCCGTCACCCCCTGCAGTGTCAGGGACTGGCACTTTGAAGTCGTACCTTGACAGAAACTCTTTCATTTCATTCTCATCAGTTCCCACACCCAAAAGGACTGGATGACCCCTGAGCTTTGGGCGCTGGGCCGAAGACGAAGCTGCATTTTACAGTTTAATCCTCACCAATGCCCTGTGCGGTGGTTGTTCTGGGTTTTACAACCAGAGCAGTCTCACAGAATGGCAAAGTTCTAACTGGAAAAGGAAGGAAGTTGGAGGCAGAAATGAACGTGTATTAGAGCCTTCCATATGCCATTGGCTTTACGGAAGTCACTGTGTCACCACTACTGTTCCCAAAAGTAACTAGTTCTCCTCCCACGTTAGAGAGGAGGAAACCAGGGGTGAGAGAAACGTAGCCACTTGCATGGGGGGCACACCACTGGGAAGAGCTGGGACTGGATTCAACACCACAGCCTTCCCTGCTTCCTTCCACAGCTCCAGAAGAGACAGCTGGAAGAGCACGACTTTAGAGAACCTGTCACCCTTGGGAAGGGGTCTGGCTGGGGCCCCACTGCCAATGCCTGGACGGCTCTGGGTTAGGGGTATGGGTAGAAAGCTCAGGCCTCAGAAAGTTGCTCAGCAACCTGGCAGCTGAGGGGGACTTTGGGGTTCTCTCCCAGGATCCCCTCAGCACATTCCAAGTTCTCCCACACTTGCTTTGGGGGAAGCCTCATAAGAGGTTCACAATCATTCCCCCTAGAGTGGGGAACTGGGTGGGTTTTTTGAATCCTATCTCAAACACATAACAGAGTTGCCAGAATTAGCAAATAAAAATACAAGTTGCCCAGTTAAATGTGAGTTTCAGATCAGGCATGAGTAATTTCTTAGTATAAGTATATCCCAAATAGTGCAAATATTTTTTAGTATACTACAAATGTATTACTTGTTGTTTAGCTAAAACTCAGATATGATGTAAGACACATCTATACTAAAATTGTATGTGTTTATCTAAAATTCAAATATTACATGAGATATACTAAAAAAAATCTTTGTTCGTTTAAAAGTCAAATACATCATGGGATACACTTATACTAAAGATACTCACCCGAAATTCACTGGGCGTCTTGCATTTTATCTGGTAATGCTACCTCTGAAATACTCCTGCTCTCTCAGTGAGCACCCCTTCCCCATGCCCAGGTGGGGAGTAGCCCCATGCTAGGTTAAGCACCTCCTAAGGGCCCCTTTCCACCTGCACCTGGGCTGGGTTCCCATGGAGAGTGCTCGAAGTGAAGAAGGGGGGGACCCAACAATTTAAAGGCGATCAGAGGATGACTAGGAACCCACTGAACCAGCTGAGGGGAATGACCCTCTTCTTTCCCCTAGTCTCCAGCTGGGGTGGGGGTGTGGCAGGCCTCCCCACTGGGATCTTTGGGCCAGGCCCTACACCCAGCCCCCGCCTGGGCCTCACTGCTGTTAATGAGCTCTGTGGGGACCCTGGCGCCCCGTTAGCCCAAGGGACTTGCCCAGAGAGCGGCCTAGGAGGGGGGAGGCGGTGCGAGGGAGGGAACAGGGGCAGAGAAAGGAGAGAAAGCTACGGGTAGAGAGGCAGAAAATGGAAAGAGAAAAGAAGAGGCAGTAGGGAAGAAGATGGACAAAACCAGGGGGAAAGAGACAGAGGAAAAGAAAGCAGTGGGGACAGGGAGAACCAGAGAGAGACAGCTGCAAAGACGGAAAGAACTAGAGAGACATAGCGAGAGCTAGAGGGGAAGGGAGTCCCGGAAATAGCGAAAATGAGTGCCTGGAGGGTCCGGAGGGTGGGTGAGGAACAGTCCCCGGTCTCAGGCTCGAGGAGACCGGATCCCTGCGGGGAGGCCTGTGCTGGAGCGCCACTAGCCGAGCAGAGAAGAGGGGGAAGGAGAGAAGTGGAAGGGAGGGCCCGGCAGGAGCCGGCCCGGGGTAGTAAGGCCAAGGCGCGGCCAGCAGTGGAGGCAGGGGCTGCGCTGGACGGAGGAAGGCGGCGAGGAGACGGCTGCTGGGCCCTGGTTTGGCCAGCGCCCCAGAACCCCTCACTCCCGCCCCCAGTGCCCCGGGCCGGGTCGAGATTCCCCAAGATCGGATCCCAGGAGGAGCAAGGGGCCGAAGGGAGGGGGAGGACCGGGCTTTCTCTCTCCCTTTTTTTTTTTCCTCTCAATTAGGCCGATTCAATGGAGCTAAAGAGCTCGTAAAATCATGAATAATTTACTCGTGATCTGTTATTAACCCATCGGGTTTCGGGCTCTTGTCGCTGGGACTGAACCTGTAATCAAATCTGACTTCGCCTCATTTTACTAAAGACGAGATTGTAGGTTCAATTGTCTAAATAATGGATTGGAATCAAATCAGTAATTACGCCGCCAGCACACACACACAAAGCTGGGGCTGGGGGAGGCCTGGGCGTCCGGCCGGTC